GAGTAGACGTTGGTATAGAATGTACAGAGTGTTATGACATAGAATGCATAGTAGACGTTAGCATAGAATGTAGAGAGTGTCATGGGATAGAATGCGTTGGTATGGAATGAACAGAGTGTTATGGGATAGAATCCGTTGGTATAGACTGTACAGAGTGTTATGGGATAGAATGCAGAGTAGACGTTGGTATAAAATGTACAGAGTGTTATGACATAGAATGCAGAGTAGACGTTAGTATAGAATGTACAGAGTGTTATGGGATAGAATGCAGAGTAGACGTTAGTATAGAATGTAGAGAGTGCTATGGGAAAGAATGCAGAGTAAACGTTAGTATAGAATGTAGAGAGTGTTATGGGATAGAATGCGTTGGTATAGAATGAGCAGTGTTATGGGATAGAATGCAGAGTAGACCTTAGTATAGAATGTACAGAGTGTTATGGGATAGAATGTGTTGTTATAAAATGTACAAAGTGTTGTGGGATAGCATGCAGAGTAGACATTGGTATAGAATGCACAGAGTGTTATGGGATATAATTCAGAGTAGACGTTGATATAGAATGCACATGGTGTTATGGGATAGAATGCAGAGTAAACGTTGGTATAGAATGCACAGAGTGTTATGACATAGAATGCAGAGTAGACATTGGTATAGAATGTACAGAGTGTTATGGGATAGAATGCAGAGTAGACATTGGTATAGAATGCACAGAGAGTTATGGAATAGAATGCAGAGTAGACATTGGTATAGAATGTACAGAGTGTTATAGGATAGAATGCAGAGTAGACGTTGGTATAGAATGCACAGAGTGTTATGAAATAGAATGCAGAGTAGACGTTGGTATAGAATGTACAGTGTTATGGGATAGAATGCAGAGTAGACGTTGGTATAGAATGCACAGAGTGTTACGGGATAGAATGCAGAGTAGACGTTAGTATAGAATGTAGAGAGTGTTATGGGATAGAGTGCAGAGTAGACGTTGGTATAGAATGTAGAGAGTGTTCTGGGATAGAATGCAGAGTAGATGGTGGTATAGAATGTACAGAGTGTTCTGGGATAGAATGCAGAGTAGACGTTGGTATAGAATGTACATAGTGTTATGGGATAGAATGCAAAGTAGATGTTATGGGGCAGCAATCACAGGGAGATGCTTTGATACATCGGAACCTACTAAAGACAAGAAAACTTCACACTCTTAAAAAGCCAAAGTAACTGCCAGAACTCAATCTTCCATTGCAATGATTAATATAACAAAGCATATAGACCAAATAATCCAGACACTAAATGGTCCTGTCATAGAGGGTACTTGTATTAATATCACATTCAATAGATCCTCAGATTTATTTATTTCTAAAAATGTAAAATTCTACCAGTGTGGTTAATCCAGTAGCAGGGTACATTAATTCTAAATGCATGTCTGACTTAGCATGCTGAGAGTTGCAGTGAAAAGACAGCAGCAAGGTTTAGTTTGCCAAGGCCTACTAAATGGCTTGTTTTATAATGGGGTAAAACAAATAAATAAACAATGTGTGTCTGTAGAAACTATCCAGTACATCATTTCACTGGGATTATCTGAATCCTTTTCTGTGACTGTGTCATTTTAAAGGCAGTCTGGTTCTGTTAGGCCTCCAGATCAATTCAGCAATCATTTCAGAATTGCAGATCAAGGTATTTCCACTTGCACCATTCTGTTACTTTGTAGCATGATACAATTAATTCAAATTATGTTCATAATAATCACATGTCAACACCGTTTCCTCCCCATCAGTGCTTGCTTCATGTAACAGAGTGCAAGCTCTTGGGCACATAAACCATTACAATTACCAGTTTACTGACTGCAACAAAAACTGACAGGGAAATGAGACTTCCCAATGAATACAATGACAGTGAGGTATAAAGCTGGTGTTTTAGTTGAAACCGAGAATAATAAATAGCAATTACCATTTCTAATTAATGTGCGCTACATAATTTCATTTTTAATCATTTTGCTTAGGTCTTAGTGACCAGAGTTAAAAAAAAATGAAAATAAAATCTTCCATAATGATATCAGCCAATGAAGGCCATCCGAAGACCATTGGTGTATATATATAACTCCCACAACCACCTACATGGCTGGCTGAGGGTAATGGGAGTTGTAGTCCAACAGCAGGGCCACTGCTTTTATTTTTATTTTTTTTATATTTTTTAAACCCTGATATTATATGAATGTCTAGATAACAGAGTTTGGGATCCTAGGACCTGCAGTGGTGGTGGTGCCCCCCAGCCCTTCCCCAGCCTCTCCCTGCTCCATCACTGTACCTTGCCATTGTCCTGGCCTTGCAGCATCTCCTTCCCACAGGAGTATTTGATCTCAATTCCGGGGGTCCTGTCATCCCTGTCCCCAGGAGAGCTCATGGCTGAGCCTGATATCTCACTCACATCACTCGCAGTCTCACTGAAATTATCCCCATCCATGTCTGGTCTGCTGCTGCTCCTGGGTGTGCGAGTCCCCTTCTTGCCCACACTGTAGGCATCAAAATCAATGGTCTTGTTCTCATATGCCCCTTCCACGTTGGCAAACATGCCCCCATACTTCACCCGGGGGGTCTGAGCGGTGGTCCCGGGTCTGGCCAGATACACTGGGAGGTCATCTTCCTTATTCCAGTTCCTTTTCCTTTCCGCTGCCATGCTGTGCACTCCCTAAATCTCCTTAATGGGTGGCTGTGCAGATCATATAAAACTGCAGCAGTGCGGCGGATCTGGGAGGAAGCGAGGCAGAGCTGAGCCTATTGTTGCAACAACGTTTCAGTAATGAGAATCTGCAGTCACCAAGAAACGGGGGAGGCTGGAGGCTGGAGGGAGGTGAAGGAGGACAAGCCTGCCCTGTACATGGAGCTGAATGCTGCCTGGCTCTGGATCAATAGGACGATGCTTTCTCAGGCATGGGGACAGACACAAGCAAGGAGCCAGTCACTGAAGGCACTAGCCTTGCTGTAGAGGGATACCTCTAGGAGACAAACCTCTGTGGCAATCATCTCACCTCCCACAAATGGGAGACTGGGCTACTGCCCCTCCTCTCACATATATAGCTAAAGGGATTATATACATATAGCGAGAGAGACACACACACACATATATATATATATATATATATATATATATATACACACAAACACATACATATAGATACACACACACACACACACACAGATATATACCATCACATACATATAGATATACACACACACACACACACACACACAGATATATACAAATACATACATATAGATACAAACACATACATATAGATATATACACATACACACACACACACACACACACATAGATAGATGTACACAGACACACATATATACACAGACACACAGATATATACACACATACATATACAAACAAATACATATAGATATATACACACATACATATGAATATACACACACACACACATACATAGATATATACATACACACAAACATAGAGATACACACACATATAGACACATACACACACACAGAGATATATACAAACACACACATAGATATATACATACACACAAACATAGAAATACACACACACACACAGATATATACAAACACATACATATGGATACACACATACACATAGATATATACATGCACACAAACATAGAGATACACACACATATAGATACATACAAACATACATATAGATAGATACACACACGCAAAAATCTAAATATATATATATATATACACACACTCACATACATACATACATACACATATATATATATACACACACATACATACAAAGATACACATATATATATATATATATATATAAACACACACATACATAGATACACACAGTATCTATGTATGTGTGTTATATATATATATATATATATACACACACACACACACACAGTATCTATATGTGTGTGTGTGTGTATGTGTATAGAAAGAGGTATACAGCCTATATACATATTTGATGCTGATTAAGAAAGGGGTTGCCTTCTGGGAAGGTCCCCTGAGCAGCTTTATATTGTTTTATGTTCTTGTTGCGCTTTGTACATTCTGGTGTAAGGGTGGTGTATATACATCTATAAATAGATTGCATTATCTATCATTTATATATATAATATTCTGCATATAGGTAGGTCTAACAGTGTTATAGATAGCATATTGCTGTTATTATTATATAATTTAATTGTTTATATTGTTATTCTTTGAGTGGGGCATTTGACACATTTTATTGATGTTTGCCTACAATATTTGTAGCCAGTCTTGTATTCACCCACTGATAAATGCAATATGATAATGATATATGTAGTAAAGAATGCAGGCTTCTAACTTAAAGGTGGTTAAAGGTGGTGATTCAGTAAAACACTTACTGACACTGTGTATAGCCAAATTAGTCTGGTTAAATTGACCAGGGAAACGGCGCTGTATTACTTAAAGAAAAAAATGATTGTCATATAATGACATGAAGAAAAATATTGATCTATTTCACGTTAACAAATCTTGGTTCTGAGAAAGTTTTACAGGATAACTGCAGTGGGGTTTTTTATGTAAACAGAAGGGTTAATTCACAGGAAAATTAGCTGATTTAATAAACTGTTTCCAATTACTTTATTTCAGCCTAGAGTTTGCAAATCCACTGTCATCTCTCCTAAACTTCTATCAGAGTTATTCACGAAAGTGAGAATTCAAGGTGAACTCAAACTGAATTTGAAATATAGAGTAGCCAAACTGAGAGCATAGCTGACTCTTCCATAGCTAATTTTTTCCATTCTGAAAATTTCAACTTTAGTGAATAACCCTTCATGTGTCTGTCTGTCTGTCTGTCTGTCTGTCCGTCTATCAATTTAAAATAAATGTGCATTCGTATCCATTCATTGATTGATTTTAGGTCATTTTTATTTTTGTTACACTTTGTAGATGCCCATTTTAAATAATTCAGTGATGTTTGACCCATGTACCTTCTGCCTATATCACCCCTCAGATTCATTGCTGATTCACAGAACATGTGCCCGCTGCTTATACCAGCTCAGAGCTGCATTGCCGATTCACAGGACGTGTTCCATGCCGATACCAGCTCAGAGCTGCATTGCCGATTCACAGGACTCGTTCCATGCCGATACCAGCTCAGAGCTGCATTGCCGATTCACAGGACGTGTTCCATGCCGATACCAGCTCAGAGCTGCATTGCCGATTCACAGGACGTGTTCCATGCCGATACCAGCTCAGAGCTGCATTGCCGATTCACAGGACGTGTTCCATGCCGATACCAGCTCAGAGCTGCATTGCCGATTCACAGGACGTGGTCCATGCCGATACCAGCTCAGAGCTGCATAGCCGATTCACAGGACATGGTCCATGCCGATACCAGCTCAGAGCTGCATTACCGATTCACAGGACGTGTTCCAATGCCGATACCAGCTCAGAGCTGCATTGCCGATTCACAGGACGTGTTCCATGCCGATACCAGCTCAGAGCTGCATTGCCGATTCACAGGACGTGTTCCATGCCGATACCAGCTCAGAGCTGCATTGCCGATTCACAGGACGTGTTCCATGCCGATACCAGCTCAGAGCTGCATTGCCGATTCACAGGACGTGTTCCATGCCGATACCAGCTCAGAGCTGCATTGCTGATTCACAGGACGTGGTCCATGCCGATACCAGCTCAGAGCTGCATGCTCTGTTGTAGCCAATAAACTGCCTAGCATGTGCGTGTATTTTGTCTACATGTCAGGGGAGATTGCAGTCTCACTGTGAAGAATACCAGCGTTTAATAGGTTACATCCCAGCTGTGGTCTGCCCAGGAATAAATCAGGACTGTCAAAGCAACAAAGGACGGCATGGCTCATCCGGCTTCTCCCAGCTATCTGCTAAATACAATTTCCTCTAAGTGTTCTTATTTTCCAAAGCTGATCTAGAGCAAACTTGAAACAAAAGGGTTTGTCCTATATAAGAATTTGATCTAAATCATCGGAATCTACTCAGATGATACAGATTCAGCACAAGAACTGACCCAGTTTTACTTTCATCAATCACACCCCAAACATACATAATAAACATTTGTCTATGCCAAAGAAATACTAGTAGACCCGTGTTTGCTTCTCTCACCTCTAACATCATGGTGTCACAGAACAACACGTCATATATAATGGATCGTTGGCAAATGCATGGAAAACCTAGGCCAGACATGCAACGAGAGAATTCACTATATGTATAATTACTATGTATACTGTATATATTCCTCATCTTCATATGACTGTTCTGAGGATGAGAGCCTTATAACTGGCATTCTTGGGCTCTCCAAGCCTCTAAACTTTCTATTCTTGCACCCCATGTTATCTGGTGGGGGGTTATCGGGTATTTGTCTCTCCAAAGCTCGAGGTGCTTTTTAAAAGTGTATTTTGGCCGTTTCTGGTATGGAGCTCAGTTGGTCGTATCAACATATTAGGATGCACTCTACAATTATAGAAAGGGGATATTTATATGTGAAGAAGGCCATCTCAAATGAGATTACAATTTACAAGATTTTATGGTAGGCAGATATACAGTTGCAAGAAAAAGTATGTGAACCCTTTGGAATGATATGGATTTCTGCACAAATTGGTCATAAAATGTGATCTGATCATCATCTAAGTCACAACAAAAGACAATCACAGTTTGCTTAAACTAATAACACACAAAGAATAAAATCTTGCCATGTTTTTTTTTTAACACACCATGTAAACATTCACAGGGTGGGAGTGTGGCAAAAGTAACCTCGCCACTGGTTTTTGGAGGGGCCTGTTTGCCAGCCTCCTGCCCTGCGACTATGGCCCTGGCATGTATTGCCCTTCTAGGAACTGATTTGGGCATAATGGATTTTTATATTGCTGTTCCTGGCCCTTTAACTACTTTGGAGCAGTGTTACAACTTTTAATTGGCACTTCGGCTACAGCCGAAGTAGTCGAAGTGGCCGCCATTCGACAAACGAACACGTGGCGGCGGCCATTTTAACTAATTCGAACGCGGTCAGCGGTGTGTGCAGCCAAATCTATGGTACTGTTTTCGGCTACCCTATTGCACGAACACCGCTGACCCGTACTTTCTACTCCACTTCGACACTGCGGCTGGAGACTAAGTCCCGTTCGAAGATTCGAACGCATGTTTGAATGGGACTTAATAATTTTTTCAGTGTGAAATTGACCGACCACACAGCTCAAATCTATGGAACTGTTTTGGGCAGGAAAATGTCGGTCAAAAGTGACAAATATTTATCTCCTGAACGGCTGAACGGATTCAAATGATTTTTGGGTATGTTTGTATTTGAAATATGCTGATTAATAATATGTACTTTCATTAATATTGGATGTATAGTTTTAGAATTATGAAAGTTGGGTAAAAAGTATGTTTTAAACTGTATGGCTAAATGTGTTACCTCTCAGGCTAAGGGGAGGTGATGTGTGGGATGTAACCAATGTGTGATTGGGTAATTCATAATTGTCTGTGGGCATCTCCCTTGCACGGGAGAATTGCATAAAAGCAGAATGTGTGTGTCATTAAAAATCAGAGTTCTTCTTCACCCTCAATCTAGAGTCCTGTCTCTTATTGGGGGAATTGCTATATCACTACAAGGGATTGCTATGCTCTGCATACTCCCTTAGCTAATCACTACTAAGCTCTTTTAAGAGCTTGTTCCTGCTTCACTCTCTTGAACGAGAGGTTCACCCACTGGAACCTGGAGCCTTGTCGTAGGTCCAGGGTGGGTAGGAGACGGCGAGACCCCAACCAAGCTGCGGCGGTTAGTGGGGTCTGCGGTGGTTGTGGTGTCTGCGGAGCGCTTGGAGCCCTCTGTAAGCACTAGGAGCATCCTTCAACGGAGGTACCCAGTCGGGGTGCCAGGTGATCCGTTACAGGGAGTGGGGCCAAATGCCACGCTGGCCAATCAAAAGCTTCTCATAGAGATGCATATTGAATGAATGCATCTCTATGGGGAAAGCATAGCGCCTCCATGCAGAGTGTGGAGACGCTCAATGTCAGTGCTGACCCAGGAAGCACCTTCAGTGGCCATGTGAGGAGTGGCCACTGGAGGTTTCTCTTAAAAGGCAGTGTTTACAACAAAAAGCCTGCAGGGGCAGGATATAGACACCAGAACAACTACAATTATTCTGTATTTGTTCTGTTGACTATAGTGTCCCTCTAAGTTGTATTGTACTGCTGTATGCTTGCATATTTCTTCTTAAGAAACTCTATACTTGTGAGTGGTCATTTTCTTCATTGTTTATACTCACATTTACTTTTGGGATTTATTGTTTTTTATTCTGTGAGGGAACATTATAAAGAATAATACCACTAGTGGATATCTTAAGATTATACCCTTCATAAATCTTTGTTGTAATATATTGGTGTTGTATTTATTACTTTTTATATCTTTTTATTATTATTATTATTGTGATATTTATAGAGCGCCGTCAAATTCCGCAGCGCTTTACAATGGGTGGACGAACAGACATGTAGTTGTAACCAGACAAGTTGGACACACAGGAACAGAGGGGTTGAGGGCCCTGCTTAATGAGCTTACATGCTAGAGGGAGTGGGGTAAAATGACACAAAAAGGTAAGGATAGTATTAGACTAGTGACAGCTGCAGAAGAGGAATCAGTCAGGAGCTATTAACAGTTTAATTGATACGCTTTTATGAAGAAGTGGGTTTTTAACGATTTTTTGAAGGAATGGAGACTGGGTGAGCATCTAACGGAGGAGGGGAGTGAGTTCCACAGGAACGGTGCAGCCCTCGAGAAATCTTGAAGGCGAGCATCAGAGGTGGGAGTACGGACAGAAGATAGATGTAAGTCTTCAGCAGATCGTAAGGGCCTAGACTGGACATACTTGTGTATAAGGGAGGATAGATAGGTGGGAGCAGCATTATGTAGAGATTTGAAAGCAAGAACCAGAATTTTAAATTGAGCTCTATATTTTATAGGAAGCCAATGTAGGGACTGACAGAAGGGTGAGGCATGCAAGGTGCGGGCGGACAGGAAGATGAGCCTCGCTGCCGCATTCATTATGGACTTATCTTTGAGTTCACTGCTAAGGACATCATTATCAAGACAAAACAGGGAGGAAGTAGATCTCACATTGGGAAAAAAATTTAATCACCATGGAAACCAAAAGTTGTTTTACCTAATTTAACAAACACCCTGTTTGACATTTAATTTGTCACTGTCCAAAATCCTTTTTTAATAAAGGAAAATGGGGCAACATAAACGTGCCCCCACCCATTTTCAGCGAGTGGGGGCTATCAAATTTATACCAGGTGTGACATAGTATACCCCAAAGCCTCCACCAAAGGACAAAGACTGCTTAAATTATACCTGAGGGGGCTGGGGAGGCTAGTGTCCCCAGCCCACACCCATTAGTGCTTTGCAACTTCTAGTGGTCTGGCTGGAAGCTTCAGTTTGCCTGAGCTCATTACTGCATCTAAGGCTCCTTGCATTAAAAGTTGGATAACCCCTCCAGTTACTTTTTGGACATTTTTCTGAACACATTTAATAATGGGCAAATTTGTCAAAGTTGTGTGTTCCAAATGGTGTGGCAATGTAGTAAGGGTGGAGCAATTACCACGAGATCTAATGGATCACTTTAGTGAAGATGAATGTCATGCAGTCTCTTCTCAGGTGATCCAAGAACGTTTGATACATAGTTACAAAGCTGAAAAGAGACTTGCGTCCATCAATTTCAGCCTTCCTCATATATGTTTTAGCTGTTCATCCAAAAGAAGGCAAAAAACCTAGTCTGAAGCGCTTCCAATTTTGCAACAAACCAGAAAATAATTTCTTCTTGACCCCAAAATGGCAGTCAGATATCTCCTTGGATCAAGCAGCTATTACCCCAAATTATATCCCTATCTAAGTTTTTGGAAGTATTTTTCCAATTCCTGTTTAAACATCTGTATAGACTCTGATAAAATCACCTCTTCAGGCAGAGATTTCCATATTCTTATTGCTCTTACTGTAAAAAAAAAAACAACCTTTCCTTTGCCTTAGATAAAATCTCCTTTGCTTCCAGCCTAAATGTGTGACCTTGTGTCCTATGTATAGCCCTGTTTATGAATAGAATTCCAGACAATGGTTTGTACTGGCCCCGAATATATTTGTATAATGTTGTTATATCCCCTCTCAGGCACCGTTTTTCCAAACTAAGGAGATTTACATTTTTAACCTTTCTTTGTAACTAAAATGCTCCATTCCTTTGATCAATTTTGTAGCTCGTCTCTGCACATTATAGCCCTGTTAGTCTGAATTGTTTTGCTTAGGTCTTAAGTCAAGGTTTTATACCTTGAATAATGCCTAGATATGTAGCTCTGACAATTATAAAACACTGTATTTGTAAGACGTCAAATAACACTGAGGATTCTCCCAACCCCATTTGCCAAGGTTTCTTTAAAAAAAATCTCACTGGATCCCCACATATTCACATGTCTATGTTAGCAGATTTACTAGGCAATAAAGTTTTGATGGTTTGAAGGGAAAATCCTCTTCAGTAGACAGGCTATTGATAATTCTATATTGTCTGCTAACCATTACACATCATTTCCCGAAACTTATAGCTTTATAATGAATATAGTCTTAAAAGTGGAATCTCAATTCTCTGGAAATTACACCATTGAAGAAAACATTAAAAATCACTTCTTTTTTTTCTCAATGCGATGCTTCATTTTCTTTTATATGTATATTAAATATTTAGCAATTAACAATACAAAAGCATGTTTGCAGTGGTATTTGATTGGTTTCCATTGTAATTGCTCCATTTGTAGAACTTTGCACCTCTTTTCAGATCATTGAGTAACAAACTTACCTGCTCCTCGCACCCTCACTGCTCCCAACATTTGGCCATGTGAACAGAACGCTCTATGCGACCTGAATTAGCATTCTCTATACTTACCATTCGTGCAGGCAAACTGCTCCTACCCCTGGTTCGTACAGGCTAAATATAGGGCAGCCACTGCTTCCTGTCATGGCTCTCGGCTCTTCTGTCAGCGTGGCTGCACATATACTAGACAGCCACGCCGTCAGAAAGGTTTCAAACTTACCTTGGTTGCGGTGGGCAGCTACCCGGTCTCTCTCCATTCCGGTCCCCAGCGAGTGCGATGTTCTTAGGAACACCGGCTGACGCGGTTCATGATTTTATAATAAACTTAACTTTGCCCACATTAAAGATGGCGCCAACGTGCATGCAACGTCACGTCATAGACGTGCACGCACGTTTTGGGGTCAGAGGTCGAAGACAGCCAATTACAGCCAAAAGAGGGTTATTTAAACCCAAATTACCTTTTTGCCAGTGCCTTGTCATGGTTTCCACTAGCTGGTTATCCGAGAGTGTGTTCCTGATCGTGTTTTTTTGGTATTTGACTTTGGCTTTCTTTTGACTTCCCTGATTTCTGGTATCCTTGACTTCTGGCTTTCCTCATCGTTGTGTCTCATTCTGTGTCCCTGAACTCGGCGAGTATTTTGACTATTCTCGGGTACGTTAAGTCCAGCCATTCTAAGGTCCAGTTAGACGTTATCCCTAGTCTTTAGGTGTGATACAATTCTGCATGCTGGATTAACTAAAATGATGACACTTCCCTGTATTCCCTCAGATGCTGCCTGTGGTATTGGTGTGTCCTTTTATAATTCGAAGACCATGATGTCATGCCCGTCCTCAATATGACCAAGTAATCTAGGCGTCCCCCTATGCAATCAATTTGGAATCATGGATATAACGTGGACCAATAAGAACATGTTTTATTCTATATAATGCTAATTTGGGCCCTTATACAGCGCCCTATCGTGGTTTCTGCCTTGATTCACATTTAGTGCTTATAGTAAGTCTTTCTTGATATTCTTATATTGACCTTGAATTGTATTTGACTTTGTATTTCTGGTATCTTTACACAGCATGTTTTTTTGCTTATCCATATTTCTATAATCCTGCCATTACTGACTTATGTTAAGTCCGGCCACTCTAAGGCTCGGTAATATGTCTATTTAGTACCTCTGTTTGTGGGATTTGCCATTCCCGTAAGTTAGGGTAACGACCCAATGACACATTGTACTTTGAAAAACCTCTCCTTCAGTCTCTTTGAAGTAAACATACAGTATACTAATTAAACCTACCAACTGATAAGGTAGCACCTTAAAACTACATTAACCCCATAAGGACACATGACATGTGTGACATGTCATGATTCCCTTTTATTCCAGAAGTTTGGTCCTTAAGGGGTTAAAGAAGCAAGAAGTAGAATATTGAATATAAAAAGAAATCAATTCATTAAGCTGCCGATAAGTATCATAAATAAATATATAACTCAGATCAATTTAATCATCACAGTAATATAATTGCAAAAAAATAATCACTCAAAAAAGATCTCTAGAATATTATGTATATTTTACTAAATATAAAGGTCATTGTATATTAACATCTATATTATAAGTAATGAATGATTACTGTCCTGCACTGGGCAAGTTGAACACTCTGTATGACTGTCACGTCCTGTTTAACAGAACCAAAGGATTTAAAACCCGAGTCAAAAATATTCCCACCTTTGTTAGATAAAGGTTTTTATTTAAACCCTCTGACTTGGAAATAATAAGAACTTGCATCTCCTGGCTGTTCAAACCAGCAATGTGGGTTTTAGAAATTCTTGGAAAGGCTTTAAGGAAATACCATGTACAAAAGCTGGCGTGAAGGGGGAGGGTGGGGGGGTTTGCATTCGTAGGAGATGACGTGCTCCTTCTAAACTCTAAGAAAGCATTAAACAGATTATGCATATTAACTGCACTGGGTGTTTTGTGATCTGTCAGCTTTAATGAATAATCACAAGCAGTTAGACTCAGGGAGCTGTTCTTTCAGCACTAGAGCACACTGTTTCAAGTCTCACATTTATAATGCTCCTGAGTGGTAGAATATATCTCCATATTGATATCCAAAACTGGGACACCCTAGATAGATAGTGTGTGTGTGTGTGTGTGTGTGTCTGTGTGTGTGTGTATATATATAGAGAGAGAGAGAGAGAGAGAAAGAGAGAGATCCAGAACCTTTCAATTGTTTTATTGTCATAGAGAACCATATATTATTATTAGTAGTAGTATTTATATAGTGCCAAGCTATTCCACCATGCTTTACAATATTATAAAAAGGGGGAAGTTTGACAATAATTAAGACAATTATAAAATGTCATTATAGGAAAACAAAACCATTGGGAAGTTCTGTAACCATCATATCTTGGGACGGTAACTCCCACCCCTAAAACAAACTCCCAACTAAGGGCACTCTAGATGTGCTCCCCCACAGTCTTATCGCCCTGAGCTTACTCGGCACAGGGCAAGCACGCCCAATGAGGCATTCACGCTGAGCAGATTATGGAAAAATCCAAACTCAGAACATCTGGGAGATACAATATCTTCTATTTCAAATACAGCACTAATTTATATATTATTTTCAAACAGGCCTTGCTGAGGAGACAGTGAGAGTATAAATGGGGAGTGAGTGAAATGTGCAGGAAGAGAACAGATGGTAAGCAGAGTGTGGCGATAAGAGGAGAGGTGGAGAGAGTGGCAGTAAGGGTGTCTGAGGATCTTCCTCCTCCCAATATGTAATTATATATTGTCATGATGAAAGTTCCTGTATGGAGCTGAAATGCTGACTATACTGGATATTCTCAAATAAAGGAAGATGTATTGGAAATCCTAGAGTGCCGTTTTTGTTGCTGGATGATATATTTACACATACACGCACGCACACACAGTACATACATCTAGGGTTACCCATGTAGGCAAATGTTTTGTTTTTTTAAAAACAACATGACAAACAATATCATGCATTCAACATTTCCCACTCAACAGTGTTTCTTTGACTCCGAAGGCAGTTATTCTAAATTTTTATTCTTTTTTTTTTATCTTGCAAGGTCAAACATTCCGAGAGTTGGAGTCCCACAACAAACGGTGGGATACGGGAAGAAACTAGCAGCTGCACGTCAGTGGTTAGCTTCACACAACACCAGACAGTCATTGACATTGCGAATACAGCAAATGACAAAGATGTTTGTATAAGTACCTGTGCAGGTGGATCCAATAAGTGATTTGCTGTGCAGTATTCAGATTTTGTGATTATAAATAAACAGATACTACCTTGTCTTAGCCAGTTGCCTTCAGAGATAGAATAAAGAAGGTATAAAAGGGAAAGACAAAGGAGTGTGGTCAGAGGATGGTGCCAGTCCCACCAAAGGGCTTGTACCCAGATAAATTGATAAACTAAACGAAAGAAAGGAAAATCCCCTAAGGGCGTTCCTAAAGTGGCAATGAAAGAAAAATTGACAATAAAAGTAAAAAATACCCACAAGTCCTAGGAAGTATTATGTATAAATTAAAGGGAATAATAAATAAAGGAGCAGAAATGTGCTGCCTAAAATCGTTATTAGTGCCCTTTGTTACACTAATAATGGGAATAAATCTTTATTGAATCTTGAAAAGTAACAAAGAGACACTATGTAGAAATTACCCCCCCCCCCAAAAAATGAAGAGATCAATCTTATGGTAAAGAATGGTACTTCAAAATACCTATTTCATACCTATTGGGGGAGTGAACACATCCCTAAGTATATGGATGCAGGCAGGAGCTACAAAAGACACAATTATTGTGCTGAATATATCAATAAAAGGAGATAGAGTAATATGTATCCCAAAGTAGCAGACAATCATATTTGTGTCTATAGTTAAGCTTGTAACCAGTGGTGCTGGGCTAGTGGAGGGATTGTAAAATATTGGAGAAAATTTCCTGCGAAAGAAACCCTCTGAACTAGTCCCTAGTCTCCTGGAAACACCTTCGAGGGTGTTCTAAACTGAGTCTAAATATTAGAATCACCTGTCTAGTCTGCCATAACCAATACTAGCTAGGAATAACACTGCAAAATAAAAAATGGGTCTAAAACCCCATAGTGCAACAAAGTGTCCCGTAGTGCATAAGTGGAGTGAGAAGGAACGACGAGCTGTCGCCCGACGCGCGTTTCGGTGTGTAATAACACCTTCGTCAGGGGCTGAGCAATTGCCCTCAAGAAAAGCCGGAACTTTTAAATGAGCGTTAACCAATCGGGCGCGGGATCCCCCTATCGTCATTGATGACGTATCGGGATGTTCCCGCGTCACGTGTGACGTACCATGTCACATGGCCGGGGGTAGCGGCAAGGGAGGAGTCAGTAGAGGAAAACGTCATATGATTGACAGGATACCTGTCTATGTCCGCCGTAA